GAGCCGCGATTTTGGCAGCATCGTGTTTGTCTTGCTCAGGCGCGTCGAATGATATACTTTTTGTTTGGGTGAGGTCAACTTAGGGTGTTGACCTCGGGTCACGGTCAGGTCAGCGCCCCCAGGTCACGAAGTTGGTCGAAGGAGGTCATATTGCGTATCATTCGATTCGGCAGGTCTTCCTGAGTCGATTGGTGGCTCTCCCGACTCGCTAGCTCAATTTGATTGGGAGTTATTGACGAAAAACTAATATGACCCTAATGACGTCATAAATGACGTCACGCAAGGTCACCAATGCAAAAGTGACGCATGGAACCTTGCAAGGAGTGCATGAAATCACGATTCTGTGTGGTTGAGATAGTTGGAGATCGTTCCCGGCGCCAGAATAGCAGTTTTCGTTTTTCCCCATTGACTTATAATGGTGAGGTCTCAAAATGACCTGACCTCATATGACCTTTAGAAAAAAATCCGAGATATACAAGTTGTGAGACTCCTAATGGATACTAGGTCCTGCAAGTTTCATTTCCCTGTGACAGCTCCTCTGGCAGTGAGGGCGTTGCGAAGTTGCGACATCTGAAGACCGTGCAGAGGTTCACTTATGACGTCATAGGCCAGTGACCTGACCTGACCCGAAAATGCGGTTGGTGTCAAAAGATCCGGCTTGAATCAAGGGTCAGGTATGCTAAGTTTCAGCTCTCTATCTCCGGCGCGTTCGGAGCTATCGCGAAAAAAAAACCTAGGGAGGGGGGGCGGCACCCGCCCCCCCTCGGCCGGCGAGGGTTAAACTGCCCTTACTCTCTTTCGGTCTAAAGCCTTTGTCATGATTTTCTAGCTTTATGAAGGTATCTAAACCTGATTATAGGTATTGTTATTGGCCGGTAGGTGTATCTAAACCTGTGTACTCACAGATAGAGTTTTCACCTTTCAACGGAATTATAATACTTTGTTACAGTGGTACGATATCGATTTTGTCACGAACTAATGTACGTAATTTTGTAGAGGCAGTTGGAACGCGATGCGGCGAAACGAAACTATTGTTTATCTTGATTAACCCTCGCCCGCACATGCCATTTTCCCATCCTAGAACGCACATGGGGGGGGGTGGTTGCCACCCCCCCCCCGCGCCATTTCGTTCCTGTTGGAGATAGAGCTTAGCAGTAAAGACAAAAAAGATTCTTTGGGAAGAGACGAATCCAATGATACCCAGTTTTACCTTCTCAGGTCAGTCATTGACCTTCCAGGTCAGGTCAAACTAAAAAATGTTGCTGTTTTGGGTCACCGTTGGATATCAAGTGTGCTGCTTATCAAATACCGATGACGATGCTGTTTTCTGGTGCCAAGCCAGCTAGAACCTCTTTGTCACACTACCCGACCAGAACTTTGCTGCTGAGGTCATTTCAGGTCAAGTTAGGTCAAGGTCAATTATATGTGTTTGTATGTCTGTGTGTGTCTGTGTGTATACTGATGTGTGCACCGATTGTTTTTGGGTCCATATTACATGAAATCATGATCTGAGAAGCTTTTACCAAAAATGCAGTCAAAAAACTTCAAAAAAAGTAAATTCAGCTTGCCTAAAACGCAATTATCTTAGATGACCTAGGTTGACCTTGACCCTGACCTTGACCCCTGTACATCGTCGAACAGCATGTTCCATGATAGCTGGGAGGTAAGACTGGCAAAAAAGGCCGAAATCAGGGTGTCAAAAGCTCATAAGGCCCATGGCAAACGCAATATGTTGAGAATTGGCCATTTGGGTCATGACATGACCTGAAAAACAAGGTCATATCTCCGAAACCAAAAATCACAGAAACTTGAAATTTTCAGTGGACATCAAGAAAGGATAGAGGAGCAGCTATACGAAAAATCAGCCTTCTAGCTCTAAAAATGTTGAGTGCAGAGCAGAAAGACTACCTGGGGGGGGGGGGGGTGGCAACCACCCCCCCATGTGCGGGCGAGGGTTATATATGTCTGAGACAAAGGCAAGTGGCCGAAATATCACATATTTTCTATCAATAAAGTACATTTTTCGGCACTTTTTTATTCAATATCGTTGAAAGGTCATGCTTATATATTTTCAAATAACTATTGATATTTTTGCATAAAATGGGTATCGAATCGATGTAACTCGTCACGGCAAGTCTAATGGTGGTGTTTGTTTTGCGCTACGTGGTCTAGAATTGCTAAAAATTGAGTTTGAAATTTTGACGTCATCAATTTTGAACAGTTTTTTTTCGCTATAACTTGGCCAAAAAAAAGTTATCGATCTAAATTTGGTATCTGAATAGAAATCGGTAGGAACTATAGCATATATTCCGTTTTCCAAAAATCGAAAAACTTGTTGGATTTGTCGGCGATTATATTCAAAAAAGATTTTTTTGGCTGTCAAAATTCAGAAAATTAATAAGTCGATATAGCAGTTTGGTAGCCCTAATAATTCTACACCTTTTATGTCTTGAACGTTTGTCTGTATCTTCAAAGCTATAGGCCTGACAGCTTTTCCCCAGAAACCTTTTTTTTTTTTGGCCGAAAACGGCAGAACATGACATCACTCTGACGTCATTTGTGGACAACCTATCAGAGCCTTTGGAAAGATTTTTAGTCACAAAGTGTAAAATTGATGCCCGGGAGGGTACTAAAAGTTTGGTGGCGATCGGCGCAGCGGTTCTGGAGAAATATCGAAAAGTCTGGAGGGAGGGGGTAAAAAAATAGCCCCCCCCCCCCCACCAGGGCGCGGGTTAAGTCTCAAGATCGATGTCAGTTTTCAGGTCAAGGGTTATCCCGCCTCCGGATGGGCCTCTCAGTCAACTTCGCCCTGGTGGGTCGGGGGGGGGGGGGGTCTGTCTAGCCACACCAGATTATCTCGGAAAGTGGGCAAGCTAGGAAGACGCTGTAAAAAGCAATAGATAGCTCGCTACAAGAACTTTCAGAATAACTTTGCGGTAATCTTTTGATCGGGTCACCGGTTCGGTCACTAGAGGTCACCAAAGATTAAAGGGACATGTTCATGTCTAACATGAGGAATGGAGTTGGGATAGCAGTTTTGTTCGTTATATGCTAAAACCACATAATCCGGAGACATTCGTTTCAAAAATATAAACTGACAGCGCTAGAGAGCAAGAGAGCAATTTCAATAGTTTTTACCAGATCGCCAAGGTGTTTACCAGATGTGTTTGACATTGCGACAAATAAGACTAGATTTTAATTTAAGGTGAGCCGATTCGCCCAATACATTGCCGTTTTTAACCTCTTGGAGGTAAGAAGTGGTATTTCTGAAATCTGAGAATGATGAACCCGCGCCGGGCCGGGGGTGTTTGAAACCCCCCCCTGCGGTTTTTGCAGGTATCTCAAAAACGGCGGCGTTTTTGGCAAACCTGTTGTTGCATCTTTTACGCACATGTTGTGAAAATGTCAGACCCAGGTCGCCTTAGGTCAGGTCACCAGGTCACGCCAAGTGACCTCACCTCAGAAAAAAATAAGAATGTTCGTCATAGCTACACCGATTGATCGATTGCCTTGAAAATTTCAGCGATTGATACAAACAACAGTATCTATAAAATGGTTATCTCGGAATTTTGATAACGGTGACCTAAGGTCAGGTCAATTTTGCGGCCTCTCCATTATAATTGTCAATGGGAGAAAATTGAAAAGCGTCTGTTTTGCACGAACGCCATTCTAGACACTCTCAAACATCGAGATGTAGGTAAAATTGACACACTGAACCGGAAAATGACAACTGTGAACCCTCGTTATGTCCCCGAGGTCATCTCCGGTCACGAACAGAATCTAACAAGTAACAGTTTTTCGCTAATAACTTCTGATAGAGGCGTGCTAGAGCGCTGAAAACGCCTGAGATGTGTTCGGCTCGACGTTGCGGATCGACTGATATGCAACATGACCTTTTTCAGTCAGGTCATGACCTTGACCTGAGGTCAAATTTTCAAGTTGACCTTTCAAGGTCAAATTATAGTTCATTCGACGCGTCTCGACGAGAGGAACACGATGCTGCCAAACGTAATGTCATGGCTCTTTTGAGTCAAAAGTTATCGCTGAAAAAACGCTTTTCGTTAAAACGGCTATTTTTGGAGTTTTTGCCCTCTGGAGGCTAAACCGTTGACCTGAGCTCAAACCTGAGGGCATTAATCAGAAAGGCCTGTGAAAGGGCTATCGAATGCGCTTTTCCGCGGCGCTGTAGCTCTATGGGTTCCCGAGATAGCCGTTGGCAGTTTCCAAAATGTTGAAATAGTCAACATTTTACCTTTGGTGACCTCTGGTGACCTGACCTTTGACCTGACCCAAAAAATGACTGAAGTGTTTTCGTCCTTATTTTGGACGTTCTTTCGATTGCCGCTTGCCGCGTGTCGCTACGTGGCCCAGGAGCCGAGGTAGAAGGGGGGTGTTCAGACACCCCCCTTCTAACTCGGCCCGGCGCGGAATCTCAGAGCACCGGCCCGGCGCGGGTTTAATGTAAATAGAGTGAATAACCTTATGCTCATGTTGTATGTTGCAATTTGATATAATTAAAACTAAATTGATATATGTCGATGTTGCACCGTCATCAGAATAAGAATTATTATTCTGATGACGGTGCAATATCGAAATATATCAATTTAGTTTTAACCCTCGCATGTGTAGTTTTTTTTTTTTGGTTTTTCGCGAATAACTCGCGTAAAAAGCGGCCGATCGCGACGAAACTTTCAGTACCCTCGCATTGATCAATTTTACACCTACCTTTATTTTTTATATTTTTATTTGTTATTATTTTATTTTTTATTTTAGTTATTTGCGAAAAACCGAGGGGGATTTCGTTCGACCTGCGTCCTATAAGTGTGAGGCTTGAAGCTTGAACGGACAAACTGGGCAGCATGCAAACTGTCCAGGTTTTTGGCCAGTGTGCATAATTGCATGCTGCCCAATGTGTTGAATAGTTTGCATACTACCCGGGCAGTTTGCACGCTGCCTAAGTTGACACATTGCCGTAACATATGAGTATGCTCTTCACGCAGCTGCACCACTTCGATGAGGTACCTGAAGAAGGACGACGCATTGTGCACAACACCAAGAGTGGACTGGTCGACTACATAGCTGACAAGTTCCCTCTTCTGCTGATGCATGTGTGGGAGGCAGCAGTAATCCGTCGCGATAAGCCAGACATACGGGATTTCTACACTGGTGAGTTGTTGGTTTCAGCAGATCAGGCTCATTTTTGGTTTACACACTGGTTAATAGGTGCTTTAGATATCCTGATGGTGCTAAACTTGTGTTTCAATTTTCAGGTCAGGGTCAGATCATCAGACGTCACGTAAATTTTATATCATGCATCGGTCAGGTGACACATGTTTTATGGTTCATTTAGGACATAGATTTTGAAATCGGTATCGCCTGTGTCATTTGAGGCCATTTTAGCTCAATATAGCTGAGGTCAGGTCACATTCATGTCAAAAAAGGTCAAATGTTAACCTTCCAGGCGGTGGGGGGGGCATTTATTTGCCCCCCTTTAGTTTGTTTCGATATATCTCCAGAACCGCTGCGCCGATCGTCACCAAACTTTCAGTACCCTTCCGTGAATAACTATTGCACATTGTGACTATATTTTTTTTCAAAGGCTATGATAGGTTGGCCGCTAATGACGTCAGAGTGACGTCATTTTTGCCATTTTCGACCAAAAAACGGTTTCGCGGGAAGAGCTGTCAGGCCTACAGCTTTAGAGATACAGAAAAATGTTTCAAACATAAAAGATGTAGATTTAAGGGAGCTACAAACCTGCTATCTCAGATTTGTTGAAATTCTTTGATTTTAACCCTCAAAAAAAGTTTTTTTTTAATATAATAAACGAAAAATCCAATATTTTTTTTTTGAATTTCGAAAAAGCCGGAGTATATGTGATACTCCCTACCGCCTTCTATGTACATACCAAATTTGAGATCGATACCTCTTTTTTGGACAAGTTATAGCGAAGAAAACTGTTCCAAATTGATGACGTCAAATATTCAAACTCAATTTTTACCACTTCTAGACCTCGTATCGCAAAACAAAGACCACCATTAGACTCCCCGTGACGAGCTGCGTGGAATCAATACCTATTTTATGCAAAACTAACAACTTTAAAATTTGACCTTTTTGACCTGACCTTGACCTGACCTCAACCAGAAAGTGACCTAAACCGTACCTGATGGTCTTATAACCAACAGCATTGAGTAGGAAATGAAAAATTGACCATAAAACATGCATCGCACAACCTTAGTAAAGTTTGGTTCATGTGGTGACTTTTGGTGACTCTTGGTGACCTGACCTGTGACCTGACCTGGTATTTTCAGTGATCTCTAATAGCAACATATGCACTAGGCAACTGACGCCCTATCGCTGATTTTCGACAAAATGCGTTTTACTCGGTGTTATAGCGCTTTCCCTAGAAGCCCCGTGAACGGTGAAACATTTTATCTTTGACCTGCCCTGTGACGTCATCGGTGACCCCGAGGTCAATGAAATTTGGTTTCCATCGACAAATTTGACAAGGCTATCGAACGCCGTTTGAATTTTCCGGATCCGCACAGGAGTTTCGGAGATACGAGGGGGGTGGGCAAAAAAAAAATCCTCCCCCCCACCGCGCGGAAGGTGGCCGGAAGGTAGAGTTCTGCACGGCTGCAATTTTCCACAGCCTATCCGCCCCGCAGCCGTGGCTCCACAGCCACAGCCGCCCACAGCCGTGGCAAACTGTGGGCAGCCAGCCGTCAGCCGGCCGTGGATACTTTTATTGAAATGCAACCAAATACTATATATTATGTTGTTTTTAGTTAAAACATAAAGATAAAAGCACATTGCAATGGGCTATAGATTCTCGAGCTCATGAAACATGCCTACAAGCATGGTTGTGGGACAGAACAGACCCTGGAACTTTTCATTATCAATGTTTTGGAAAATGAAACTAAAGTTGATGAACTGTTAGTGATTGTCCTGATAGTTAAAACTCTTGTTTTTTTTTCTTGTTCTTACTTTGCATATTTTCTGGGGTGTGCTATGCCAGGCTTGATGAAGCAACCTTCTGAGCAAGTCTAAAACTCATTCTAATTTGATATGCAAGGCATCAAAACACTAGTGATCATCAAAAAAGAAAAACACCATTCATGTATTTTGATTTTTCCAATTTGATTTTTCATTTTTCTTCAAGCTGCGCTCAAATCACCAAGGACGTGTGAGCCACAATTGCCTCATTCAATCTAAAAGTTCATTGGAGTTTTTAATGACGTCAATAAAAAAGAAGTAGCAAATATTTTTTTTCGTATCTCCACAAACGGCCATTAAAACTGATGATTATTTTATATTAAGGTTTTGCGGTATTTAATCGCTCTCAAACAAAAATGTGTAATCAAATTTTAACATTTTTAGAAAAAGACGTCATTATATTAGTAAAGTTAACAACTCGCGTAAGTAATGTCGTGTTCAGGGTTTACCACAACATGTGAATGAACCGTAAGTACGGTTTACGCTCCCTTATAATCTAATTCCATTGGCTTCGTTGATCAGCATTTTCTGTTATCGTTCACTCACACACTAGTTAGAACATAAGAGCGCCAGTTTTGTATTATCAATCAATCAATCAATCAATTTATTATGCGTCTTTTCGAGACAAGATAAAGCATACAGTAAAACATACGACACAATATAACAAAAGATAAACAAAAGATAAATAAGAGCGCCAGTTTTGTATTATGTAATTGGACTTGCCGAAAATCCAGAAATACAGCTAAGGGTTAATTTGGATATAATGATAAATATTGTTATTCACCTGGGAAGGAATCATGTTTAGGACGAATATTCGAAACACCAGGTACTTTTTATTTATGGTAGCTTTCGAAAGCACTGCGGCTTTCTTCCTCAGCCTAGACAGTTAGACACACATAGAATCAAATCAAAATTAACAATTCATCCTAGTCGTTCGTTTCGTGATATTAAACATCGTTTGGATACGTATAAGTGGCGCACATTCAAATTTCCAAAATTATGTGGTCACATGCTTAAATTAAGTCTTCGCTTCTTGGAATTTAAGCATGTGACCACATAATTTTGGAAATTTTAATGTGCGCCACTTATACGTATCCAAACGATGTTTAATATCACGAAACGAACGACTAGGATGAATTGTTAATTTTGATTTGATTCTATGTGTGTCTAACTGTCTAGGCTGAGGAAGAAAGCCGCTGTGCTTTCGAAAGCTACCATAATTCGGATAATATTTTATGAAGCCTTTACCTGCTTTTACCTAGGTGTTATTCCTTTTTTATTACCATAAATGTGGGTGACTTTGCCTTGCGGGGTGACTTTGCCATGCTTCTCGAAAAAGCCTTTAGGGAGATCTCCAGTGACATTTTACGAAGAATGTAATACTTTTTTATGCACGCATGAAAGATAATTGATGGGCCTTCCAATATAACCAACAATGAGAGACAAGTTACCACTAAATCCCTAACTTGGCTCCATTTTTTGGAGTCATTGAAATGGTCAAATTTGGAGAGGTCAGAACTTTTTATTATCTAATCATGTTTCAGACGAACTGCGATGCTGAAACTTGGTATGGTTGATCATGACAATGCTGTTTAGTTAGCATATCCAACAAAACTAACATTTGTCACTTCATTTAGCTAAAATTTTGGTTGAGATTTATTCAAGTGAATCGCAGGCCACATGGGGTGACTTTGCCACCATACTTAATACTTACCCGATGCAATTCAAAATCATTTTTTAAGGTAGCATCATTTTGATCTCCAAATTGGTTTGTTGAAAGTGAAAGTTTATATATTGAAAATTAACACAGGAAAGCACAGTGGTAGTATAGAAAAGCAAAAATTACCAAAATGAAAAATGAATGAAGCTGGGCTCAATATTTCAGCACAGCCAAGATCATCTACATTTTCTGAGTTGGCCAGTTTGACTGGCTGAAGAAATCTGTACCATTTCATACATCAAAACGCTGATAATAAGGGTGCCGGAAAGTTGCCGCAAGAACGTCCTCTTTCTGTTCCTATGAATGCCGCTGGAAGAAAGCGGCATGGTCCTAGAGTACCGATACAATCATATTTCTGCTTATTTATCTATTCTGAACCATTTTTCAGTTTCCATTTACTATAAAATGTTAATTATTTTCAACAAGTATAATGAATTACAAAAGGAATGTATCTCTCCTTTTTGTACATCATTTAAGAGCAAAGAACCTCGAATTGCTTTATATTTTTACCATTAACCCGCGCCCTGCTGGGGGGGGGGGGTGGGGGGGTGTTTGAACACCCCCCCCCCCCCTTGTGGTTTTTCGCGAATATCTAAAAAACGTCCGCGCCGCCGTTTTTGGTACACCTTATCATACATCAATTCTACATATGTTGTTAAAATTTCAGACCAAGGTCATTCAAGGTCAGGTCCCCAGGTCACTTGAAGTGACCTCACCTCATAAAAACTTTCAATGTCTGTCATAGCTACAGCGAGTGACCGATCGCTTTGAAACTTTCAGCGATTGCTAGGAGCAATAGCATGTACAAAATGTATATCTCAGAATTTTGATATCGATGACCTAAGGTCAGGTCAGTTTTGCGACCTCCCCATTATAAGTCAATGGGAGAAAATTGAAATGCGCCTCTTTTGGATGAAAGACATTATAAACACTCCCAAACACCGAATTACAAGTGGTTTAGACACACTGAACATGAAAATGGTGTCCGTGACCCTTGTTCATGCCCTGAGGTCATCTTAGGTCACGAATGGTATCTAACAGTTTTTTTTCGCAAATAACTTTTGATAGAGGCATGCTAGAGCGATGAAAACGCCTTAGATGTGTTCAGCTCGACGATACGGATCGACTGATATGCAACATGACCCTTTCCGGTCAGGTCATGACCTTGACCTGAGGTCAAATTTTCAAGTTGACCTTTCAAGGTCAAGTTATAGTTCATTCGATGCGTCTTGACGAGAGGAACACGATGCCGGTAAAAGTAAGCTCGTACAAGGCTTGGGTCAAAAGTTATTGCAGAAAAACTGTTTTCGAAAAAAAAAAATCGGATATTTTTGCCGTTTTTGCCCCCTGCAGGCAAAACCGTTGACGTTAGGTCAAATCTGAGAGAATTAGTCAGAAAGGGCGTTGATAGGGCTATCGAATGCGCTTTTCCGCGGCGCTGTAGCTTTAT